GCGGGGCCTGGGCGGCCGATTGGGAGGCGGGGATGTAGACGTCCTCCATCCTCGGAGTTGTCAAGAAATCAAGTAATTCTGCGCTGGGCTTACTCGCAGCAGCATGCCTTTTTGAAGTATAACTGACCGATCAAAACAAAGAGATTGCACTTCACCCGGTCATTAAGAACAAATTCTCACCCCCTCCCCCAAGAAAGCGCAGGTAGCGTGCTGGGGAGGCGTGGTGACTGGAACCCTGCTGGCGACACTCTGAAACCGACCGCTGGAAAACAAAATGGCTTGGCCCTCCTTCAGAAAGTTGGAACTAGAAATACCCTATGACCCAGCAATCCCTCTGTTGTCAGGGGCGGACTAGGTGGTTCGGACCCATAGCGACCCTTGTACAACATCCCCATACTGCGCCACCCCCACAATTGTTCTTGTCTAAGCCCACTCTCACAGCTACTCTGCAACCCCTTGTCGAGGGTCTACCTCTCTTCCTCTGCTTCGCCCTTTAGTAAGCATGATCTCCAGGGAGGGGCTTCGCCTGACACCATGTCCAAAGTACATGAGACCAAGTCTCGCCATACTTGCGTCTGAGGACTATTCTGGCTGTACTGTTTCCAAAACAAAATCATACGGTTGTTTTGGCAGTCCATGGCGCTCTCAGTATTCTTCACCAACGCCGTGGTTCAAATAGATTGAGTTTTCTCCCGTCTTCCTCATTCAACGTGCAACTCTCACACATGGATAAGGCGATGAAAACTTCTACGGCTTGTATCTGGTGTACCTTAGTCTTCAAAGCAACCTCCTTGCTTTTCAGCACTGTAAAGAGGCCTTAGGTAGCAGATTTACCCACTGCAATATGTCCATTGATCTCCTGATGTTGCTTCTGTGAGCATTGATTGTGAATCTAAGCAAGATGAAATTCTGGACAACAAACCTTTCATCAAGATACTGTTGCTGTTCGGTGTTCTGGAGTCGGTTGGGGAAAGGTTTGAGCGAGTTTATCTGAAGAAAATATGAAGCCATGGTGGCCCTTCCGGTCAGAATAATTTAATTTCACCTTTACTTGAATGACTTTCAATCTGTAATCTGAAGTTAGAAAGCCTCTGTGGTATCCCATACATCTAGAACATGTTCGAATGAATCATTTTCTTTTGAGTATCAAATCATGACCTCTCTCTAAGTTTGTCTTGTTCTCTCCAGTAAAGAGTCATTTTGTCTTTTTGCTTTTCTCCCTGTATGACAACATGTCCCTCTGAAGAACTGAAGGTGCAGACACTCCTGAGGACACTAGCGTCCGTCCTCCAGGGAAGTCTTTAGGCTTCCTTCTTTTTCTTGCACAGATGTTATTCTTCAGGATCTTGACTATAATGGTTAGTTCATTGATCATCCTTGTCTAATTAAAATGGCCATGAACAACATAAAATAACCATAAATATTCTGATTTGCTTTGAAATAAATATTTGAGAGTTTTAAAAAATAATAGTAAACATTTTATTGGGGGCTCTTACAACCATCCCTACATCAATTGTATCAAGGACATTAAAAAAATTTTTTTTCAAGCACATTTGTACATAGGTTGCCATCATTTTCAAAACATGTTCTTTCTACTTGAGTCCTTGGGATCAGCTCCTCTTTTTCCCTCCCTCCCCCTTGATAAATTATAAATTATTTTCATAATAGCTGAGAGTTTTATTGTTTTCGTTCCTAACAGTTACTCAGTGGCACCGAACAACAACCAGCACATAGGGGTTCACCGAAAAGAAAGACCACCCTTTGAGAGTCACCAAGAGGGAGAGGGAGAAAGGGGCTGGTGCGTAGGCAAGTGATGATTTGGGTGAAGAGGAAATACGAAAGAAGGGTGAGGGGGAAAAAAGAAGAATGAAGTTTGGTAGAAATGATGGAGGAAGGAATGAGACTGGGAGTGTGGCAAGACACCAAAAAAAAAAAAAGAAAGAAAAAAAGACACCACAGACAAATACTGCCTTGTACACAATCCTACAGTAGTAGGAATCTACACTTGGACAGACACACAGTCTGAACAGGTAGGAGAGGGAGAATGGGAGTATGTCCAGGAACATGGATAAATGTCACAAAGGGTATTTGATACATGATCCATATGCATTTACTTTTGCAGAAAATATGCATCACCACAGTCATCTCAGTGTGCCAGTTTTTGGCAACAAAACAGCCCACCTCTCTTGTCCCATGCACCTTACTCCATGCAACTTCTTTTGGTTTCCATGAAGAGGGACATGAAAGGACAGCGATTTAAAAAAAAGAAAAGAAAGGGCAGAGATTTGACAATGTAGAAGAGGTGAAGAAAAAATGAGGGCGGTGCTGTCAGTCATCCAAACAGATGAACTTGAAAAATGTTTCCCAGGATGGAATCACAGATTTGATAAATGTATTAAGTGTGATGAAGAGTACTTTGAAGGTGAAAAGATTGTTTTGTAATAAAAAAATTAAATACCTAGCTTTGAAAAAACAATTCCGGGGTGTTTTTTTGGTACCCCCTTGTAAGGTCACAAAGACACTGTTCTACATCTTATTTGGTGAGTAGCTACTGGGGTCTTAAATGCTCAAGGGCACCTATATATGGTGCAACCATTGATCTCTCCCCATCCTTAGGAGAGGAGTGACAGGAACCCAAAGATGCATGGAAACAGTGACTACAGTGAACAAATGGACCACACAAATATCAGTCTCCTGATTTGTTAAATGTGAAATTATCATCAGCTCGCTCTGTAAACCTAACTCACCTAATTCACATTTAAAACAATTAAAAAATATATGTTACCAGGGGCTTAGGTGGAGAGCAAATGTTTTAAGAATGATGAGGGCAATGAATGTACAAATGTGCTTTACAGACATTTGTATGTATGGATTGTGGTAAGAGTTGTATGAGGCCCTAATAAGACGATTAAAAATATATATACATATGTTAAAAAAGTGTCACTGTGGGCGCACCTGACGCAAGCCATGGTGTTTTCAATGTCCTCACGTGCACACGGAAACTGGACGGTGCGTGAGGAAGAAGTCAGAAGAATTGTTGCTTTGGCAAAGAATATTGCAATTACCGTACGGACTGCCAAAAAAATAAACGAATCTGGGAAGAACACTTCTTCGAAACAACCATTTGGACATGATTAGGCAGGCCCAGGCCCTGGAGAAGGACATCGTTCTCTTGTAAAGTGGAAAAGAGGAAACCCTTCACGGAGATGGATTGACTTAGTGACCGCAACCATGGGCTGCAAACTGAGCAGGAGTCGGTCGCGAGCTGACACAGGCCCGGCAGTGTAAGGGTACCCAAGCACATGTAGATGGAGGGGTTCAGCGTTGGGCTTCGAACCGCAAAGTCAAAACCACCACCAGCTCTGGGGGAGAAAGACGGAGGAGCCTTCCACTCCGTAAGGAGTTACAGTTTCGGAAACCCACAGCGGGAGTGCCAGCTGCCCTATAGGCTCTGTTTGACCGGGCGTCGGCTAGATAGATAGCAGGGAGAATGGGGGGCATGAGGGAGGAGCCAGGTTAAGGTGAGGATAGGAGAGGCGGGGCCTGGAAAGAGGCGTGGGGCGGTATTGGGAGACAGTCCTCAGCCGCACATTGGGGGTCTCCGTGGAGAGTCAAGGATTCCAAACACAAGGGGCGGGGGAACCGAGGGTTTTAGAGCTCTCTGCGACGGTGGCACGAGGGGGGGGG